GCCGCGCCCCAGCAACGGGCTGAAAGCTTTGCAGAGGGACATCTTTCCCTGGCTGTGAGCCCAGGGTGCAGATGGGGAACCACGAAGCTGGGTGTCCAGGCCCTAATGAGAGGCTGCAGGCCCCAGCACATTCTTGTTAAATATGCCATTTGGTCTGGGCAGTTGACTCTAAATAGTGTCATGTGTCACAAATGGTGTCGAATTCTGGGTGGTCCGTTTGCTGGAGGTGGGAAGGGAAGGGAGAGGAGAAAATCAGTGTCCCAAGGTCAGTGAGGGAGTGCACCTCCTCCTGACACCATCACAAGGATCACTGCCATCCCAAGGAAGTGCCCTTCAAAGTGTCCTGGCTGAGCCTCCTGGGACAAGTTCCCTGGGCCCCGAGATGACATATATCCAAGTTGGAAGAAACACTGCCCCATGGCCTCAATTCATAGTTGAATTTCCAGGCTCCAAAAGTCTACAGATCCCTGGTATGGCTCACAGGGGGCTACGGACAGAGCTAAGGTGGGATTCACATGATTCATCCCTTCCTCTAATCCTACCCTGCCGCCAGCCAACTGGAGGACCCAATGGGAGACTGGAGACCTGCCCAGGACCCCTGTGCAAGCCGCCTACGGGAACACCTGGGGGTGTTCCCATGGGATGGGGACCCAGGGCCACCATGGAAATGCCATGATATTGGCAATGGCCATACCAAAAGAGGGCCTCAGACTACACACACCCCACCCAGGAGCCAGCTGAGGTGGGGCCCTGGTCCTTTTGCACAGTTGACAGAAGCAGCAGCTGGCAGGGACTGGCAGGGCAAGGACAAGGGGCATCCCAGGAGAGCGCGTCAGGCCCTCCCTTGCTCATAGTAGCACCTTCCGTTCAGCCAGGCAGGGGGGCAGTAGGAGCCTTCTAAGACCCTAAGGAGCCTTCTGGGTTGCAGGCTCAGCCCTCGTGGGGCCAGTAGCCCAGCACTCTCCAATCTCAAAGCAGTGGCCACAGCGGGCTGGGTTTTGCCCAAAGCTGTCATGGCCCCACGTCCTACGGAGCTGCAGAGCACATGCTCTTGGCCCCCAGGGTGCAGGACAGAAGCTTGACCTGCTGGGCTTCCTGGGGTGGAGGGTCCTGGCTCTGGAGACATGAACAGCCTCTCCTTGGCGGAAACCCTTAGGGCCCCAGGAGACCAAGTGCCCCAGGTTTGACCTGGAAGTATCTTTCTCTGGAGCTGTAACTGCTCCCACTTCCAAATCTCATGTCAATTGCCCTCACATTTCCGCCTTCCTCTCTCAAGTCTAGTCCTAATCCTGGGGCTCTGAGCATCTCACTGTGCCTACCAAGACCAAGCCCCATGATGCCCTTGGGGCCTGGTTCATACCCTGCTGGGTCATTGTCAAGGCTGGGTCTCCCCTTGATCCTTAGAAAGAATGAGACTCAAGGAGCCAGCACAGCAGCCAAACCCCGGAATGATCCTTCAGCCAGCCAGAAGAGGACCTTCAGGGAGGCCATGGAAATGAAGGGACCAGAGAGCTGCCAGACGACGGGGACCCTTTGCGGGCTCAGGGTGAGACCCAGCTGGGGACTCAGAGTTCCAGCTAAGAGCTCATGGTCTTTGCAAACAGAGGTAGCCAGCCCAACCATGCCATCCTCTCCCCCTTCATCCTCTTTCTAACAGCCAAAGGCCGTATCATTCCGACCCAGCCCCAGGCAGGCCTGGCCTAGCAAGGCAGCCCAGTCAGTCAGTCCAGCAGAGCCACCACCCTCCTGCCTTTGTGACGTCACAGCCTGGTTGGGTGTGGCTGCGCATGGACCCTTCCAGGCCCCATGAGGTTCCTGCATCAAGAGCTGCAAAGGCAAAGGGATTGGCCTCCTGGGCAGAAAGGGGCCAAAAGGGAGGCCCCTCTGGAGTAGCTTGGCTCTGGGAGAGGTGGAAATGAGACCCACAATTCTGCCCCAATGCCATGCAAGTGATTTCCTCCATATACTAACAGGGCAGCAGAATGGGGAGATGGCCGCCCTGATCAGGGGCAGTTACCAGCCAGCTTCCTGGGATGGCCACACAGGAATCACTGCACACACCACCCCTGAGAAGTGGAAACACAGGGAAACCTCTTGTCCCTCTGGAAACTCAGGTACAATCAGTTCAGCCCTTGAAGGGAGGACCTTGAAACATTACAGCCTGAAGAACAAGAGGGTCAAACTATGGAGCCTCAGCATCTTCTTCTACCCAGATCATGCCCAAGTTGTACCCCCAGCCATCCACCAGCATCCAGAGCTTCAAGCCAATGGGAAGCTGGGGGACCTCTTGACCCCACACTGCCTTGGTAACATCAGAAATCTGAGGAACGCCTCTCCAGCAAGACAACAGACTTCAATGAAGCCCTCTTCCCAAGCCACACTAAAACAAGAACCAACCCCAGCCGAGGGTGCTCCTCGCTGCCCACAGGCCCCTCTTCCAGCCTGCTCCACATGCAGGCCTGCACAGTGGGGGTCCCTGTTGGGGTTGTGTGCCTGGGGAAAGTCACCACCCCAAACCTCCACTTCCTTGGAAGTCAGACAGGGATGGGGATGCTGACTTCCCCGTGGTGAGCGTGACTCCCCGCCCTCTCTCCAGCTCTCTGGCTCTGGAGTGGAAATCTGGGCCCTTCTCGAGCTCGGTCAATACCAGCCATAGATATAACAGGGCACTGGGGAGAAGATGGGGCGAGGAGAGGTCATTCAACACATGACCTCTGACCCTCCCCAACCTGCCACTGGCATGGCTCCTATGGGAATCCAGTTCCCTTGTTCTTTGGTGTTGGGGTGGATTTAGAGAAAGGGGTCCTGATGACCTGTCAGAGCCCAAGTCCTGAAATAAGAATGGGGACACATGCAGAGAGGGTCCAGACGCACCCCCTGCTCACTATCCTCCTGAGAGCCCCCAATGCCAAAGAGGGAGGAGGCCACCCCAGTCCCTCCCATCATGGACCTTTCTGGCAGCCTAGAAAGGCTAAGCCAACTCTTCCCTATGAGTCTGCTTCCCCAAGCATCATCTCCAGAGGAGCAACACCTGTGTGTGGCTATAAAGAGCCTACGTGATTGTGACCATCCCTGCCTCCCTTGGCTTTCTACAGAGAGACACTTGTTCTCCTTGGAGCGGAGAACAAGCTGGATGCAGCTCACCCACTCCCAGAGACCCAGGCTGGGCACCGGGCCCCTTCTTCCAACCCTTAGCCCACTCCTGGAAGTCTCTAGGTCTGCCTCTGAACACCAAGACTGACCACTCAGTTCCCACCTTCGCCACCCCCCCCACTCACTCCCCAAGACCCACCCCCACACACACAGCCCCAGTAATCCACTTCCAAGTCTGAGTTTCCCTGACGATCTCACTCTGAACCCTTCTCCCTGCCTCCTTGGGAATGCTGGAAGCCTGTGGCCTGCAAGCAGGGACAGGCACAACTGAGTCTGTCCTCTGTTTCTCCTGCCCTCCCCCTGCCCCTCAGCCACCGCTTGGCTGTTTGTCTTGTCATCTCTGGACGGGTTGAAGGGGGTGAGGGGGTGAACAGCAGAGCTGAGATATGGGTCAAGCTTGTCTCCTGGGCCAGGAGTCAGAGACATCTCCTGGGCTGTCCATTTCCCTCGAACTGTCAGTTGCAAGAATGCAAGCAGAGGCTCCATTAAGCTGAGAGGGCAGGTGGGCTTTCCAGAGAGCGGGACTGCAATTCCTCCAGGCTTTGCAGCCCCATGGCCCTGGGCTCAAGCAAGGGGAGGGGCTCCTAGAGCAGCACCAAATGCAGGTCCAGCCCCCTTGAGTCCGACTGAGGGGTAAAGAGCCACCCAAAACGTCTTCCTCCAGACCTTGGCCAGGACCTCAGCACAAACCCTTCTCAGCTGCCTACCCACTCCTGGGGGGTCCCCAAGGGCTGGGAGCCTTGGGGGGAAAGAGGTGAAAATTATCCTCTGAGCAATTCTAGTGCGGTCCACACCCTTCTCTGGGGTGGTAGGTTGGGAGGGGGTCACCTGGCCGAGGTCAGCTGAAGAAAAGAGGAGCAGGCTCTCTGGTTTCCGAGCCCTTGCTCCCTCCCCTCCTTTGCTTCTGTTCCCATCCCCACCAAAGAAAAATAGCAAGGAGAAAAGAGCAGGCCACCACTGGTCTCCCTTCGACGGGGCACAACGAAGCAAAAGCCAGCCAGAGTTGAATGTTCCAAACGAACGCATCCTGACGGTCATACAAGAAACCCCCTCCCCATAACACACATCCTCGCCTCTCCCTGCGCCATCCTGACTCAGAATTATCCGGAGCAGTTATCAAAGCCCAAACTGGGAAAGGATCTGTAGGCGCCCAGATGCAGATGAGGGTGGCAAAGGGGGTGTCTCGGAAATGCCCAAAATGGGGCTGGAGAGGGCGGGCTGCAGGAGGGGAAGGGAAGAGGTAGGCGTCCATGACGGCCTCCACGCGTCCAAAGTCTCCCCGCGAGCAGCCAGCTCCCAACTTGTTTACTTGTCAGCGTGTTCTGCTGTTTCCAAATGGAAATAGTTAAGCACCTGGCTGGATCGCGAGCAGTCCCTATCTGTCACCATCCCTGCCGGCTAAGCGCCGCCACTGCCTCCGCCACTGCCGCCGCCTCTGCCAGAGAATCGAATCTCGTCTACTTTATTCCACTTGAGCGTGGCCAAACTGTTGCTATTTAGTGGGGGGCAAAAGAAAAAAACCCGATCTGCACCCTCGAAATGAGCCAGCAGCGGGTGGGGAAGAGCGGGTGGGAGCTGGGCCCCGCGTGCCCTCGGCGGCCAGGGTCCTCTCCAGGGAGAGCCACACACACGCATCGCCGGATCGCGTCTCGCCAGGGCCGGAGTCACCTGGAATGCGCAGCCCGTGAGCATCTCCCGAGCCAGAGCGAGCCTGACGTGCGCCCAGCGCGCAGCAGGCAGCAGCGAGCTGGGGCGGGTGGAGGGCCGGCTCCCGGCTAGGCTGCGGGCGGCAAGAGGGAGACGCGGAGCACGGGGGAGGCGGGCTGGGGAGCGGCCGCCTGACTTACATGGAAGTGATATTCCTTGAGATGTCCGTGATGTTGATGCTGGCGTTCCCATTGCTGTTCCCTGAATCCTGCCCTTCCAGGAGGGGGAAGAGGTTCCCATCGTCCGGCCGCCGGCAATTGATCTCAGTCTTGCTGCAGACACAATTTGCAGGGCAAGCCAGCACGGAGCCCACATAGTCCAGCCAGACGCTTCCCAGCAAGAAAATCCGCCAGAAACTACACTTGGCTGGGCAAAGAGAGACATCCATCTCCGATCGCTGCTTCTAAAAAAGAGGAGGAGGAGAGGAGAGGGGGGTGGGGTGGGGGGAGTGGGGAGAGCAGGGGGGGAAGGAAACAAAGACGGTGAGGGAGGGGGAAGGGGGAGGGGGGCCTCTGCCTTTGAAACGCCGAGCGATCAGATGCAAAATCCTTCAGCGTCTGAAACCATCGCGGCCGACGCCGTCGCCGCCGGGTGGGAGCCGCTAGGAGCGCCTAGTGGCGCGGTCTGCCGGGCATGGTGGCCGGCTCAGCGATCGCTGACTCGCCGGGTCCGGGGGCTCTGGAAGCGAGGCACGCTCTCCGACTCCGAGACTTTGCAGGGTTGCAACAGACGGTGGGGAGTCAAAAAAAAAAAAAAAAAAAAAAGTGACAAGAGACAGTAAAACCAATCTCCAGCTGGATAAGAAACAGAGCAAGACAACAAAAAAAAAAAAAAAAAAAAAAAAAAAAAAGGGGAAGAGGAAAAAATGGTGCTAAAGTCACCAAGTCCCACCTACTGGGCAGAATTAAAACGGACACCCCACACACCTGCAACACACACACACTCACACTCACACATACACACACCCGGAGTCCGAGGAAGGGAGGAGAAGGAAGACGCAGTAGGAGCTGCAGCAGCCGCCCGCGAATGGCTCGCCGCGCGGCTGCAGAAATGTACAAGTGCTCCGAGCCTTACGAAACGCACGGGTTATCGGAGCGTCTTCCTTGGCTCCCTCCCTCCCTCCCTCCCTCTCTCCCTCCCTCCCTCCCTCTCTCCTCCCCTCCCTCGTCGCGGCCTCCTACCCCCGCCCGGGCTGGGAGCGGCAGGAGAGCGGAATCTCCCCCTCCCTCCCCTCCCCACACCCGTCTCTCTCCCCTCCCGTCCTCTCCCTCCTCCCCACCCACCCACCCACCCACCCACTCGCCGGCTCGCGGCTCTAGCCGGCACCGGCACCCGCAGCCGCGCGGCAGCCCGCCCGCCCCACGCCTCGCAGCTCGGCGCCGGCTCGCTGCAGCCGAGGGGAAACCGAGACCAAAGGGAAAAAGTTGCAGTAGAGATTGCGAGGGTCGAGGCTGGGGAGGGAGAGTTGGCGAGCTGGCTGCGCGACGCGGAAAGGCGCTCTCCTTTCCACTTTTTGGCCCTCGCGCTGCCCGGTTTTGCTGCAATTCGGACCGTGGTAGGAAGTGAAATGGACGTGGTGGGGGTGATCGGGGAGCGCTCCCAAGCCTGGGTGGGGGGCGCAGACGATGGGGGTGGGGACCGGAGCGCACAGACACCCCAGAGCAGCACCCAGAGCCCCCGGGACCGGGACCGCAGACGCACAGTCCTTGGTCTGAATGACACTCGTTTCCGTAACCTGGAGTCTGGGGCGCTGGTCTCGGCTGGGAGGGGACTGCGGGGCATGGCACGCTAGGTGCCCCCGGTGCCCCTGCGCCTTCATGGAGGTGGGTTTTGCATTTGGCCTTGAGCAGGCAGGCATGGGGAAGGAAGAAGCAAGAGCCGAAAGGGCTGTGCTGGAGAGCCGAGGTGGCCCCGGGCGAGCCGTGCGTGCGAAAGAAACGGCCGGGGAAATTGAGATGCAAGGGGCGTATTTTGGCAAGCGCCACGCCGACCCCATCACAGGCCGGCTTCTCGGGCTCAGCTCTCGGTGCGCTGAGCTGGCTGCCGGGTGAGGGGGCGGGCGGGCTGCTTTCTCCGGATTCGGGGGCGCAGAACCTCCTCCTTCCCTCCCACACAAGCACCCCTTCCTGGTAGGGGCGCAAAGCAGGTGCAGCTTTCGTCAGGAGCTCAGATCCCACCCGGGAAAGAATTGGGGGCGTCTCCGCTTTTGCGCTGGTTAGGGAATTTTTTCTTAATAAAACGTAAAGATGCCAAGTGTGAGCTGTTTGTTGAAAAAAAAAAAAAGAGCATTCGCTGTGGGAAAGGAGAAGAAAGGGTTAGGGGAGTCCGAGCAGGCAGACACTACAGCATTCACACGCAGAAGAAAGCAGGGCTCTCCTGCCCGGGCTTGGATGAGGGCAGGCGAGGAAGCAAAATACATTGAATTCAACCGCATCCAGTATCTGAAAGGAGCCTCCCCCGCCCCCCTGTGGATTCCGATGCAGGTCATGCAACTTGCAGGCAAGATGGGGGAAGGGGCATGCCGGTGTCAGCGCCTGCCCCAGGCACAGACAGGCTGGGCGCCTTCGGGTGGCACTGTCGCTGGGAGTATAAACTTGGACGAAAAAAAGCAAAGAAAACAACATGCCTATAAAAGGCAGTTTTCCCGACTCCTCGTCACATTCCACCTTCCCTTGGCCTCAGGGAGACTTTTATCCCTGTCGCCGTTATAGCCTTGTCCCCAGACTGGCATTTTTGCCTCCCACCAGCAGGAGGGGACAGAGCGTGGAGACCTCCTTGGACTCTCAAACCAGTTGCTACTGGCCCTAGGCCAATCCTTGGTGTCCTTAGGCCCCTGGGAATGTCCCTGTCACTTCAAGTGCCATTCTGGGATTGGCTTTAGAATATCTGAGAGTCAGAGAACATGAGGTGCAGTCAGATACTCACCCTTGGCCTCTCCTGGGCAGGGAGGGAGGGAGAGGGGGGAGAGAGAGACAGGGAGCCAGAGAGACAGAGAGAGAGGAGGACAGACATCTGTAAGTGAGAACAACGACAAAAAAAAATCCCTTTAAAAATGCCTCTGGATCTGGTAAAAAAAATGCAGGCTGTGGAGCAAGGGGTCCTGATAGGCAAGAAATCTTTCATCCAGACAGTAAAGTGGGGTTCAGATGGGCTCCGTTTATCCTTATACTCGGCCTGAGCAGGAAGCGGCAGCTGAAGAGGAGGGAAGCCCTTTTGAAAGCAGGTGGCATTTGGACACATAGAGGGGACGACACACATGGGGGTCTACCGGAGGACAGAAGGTGGGAGGAGGGAGAGGATCAGGACAAACAGCTCATGGGAGCCAGCTTAATGCCTGGTGATGAAATAGTCCGTACCACAAACCCCCATGACGCATGCCTGTGTGTAACGAACCTGCGCGTCCTGCACACGTACCCTTGAACTTAAAGGTTTAAAAATTTAAAAAAATAAAATAAATAAAAAAGTAAGTGATGGACTAGGTGTGGGGAAAAGCAGAATGTCACTTCTAACCACCGGCAAGTGACTTAAGCTTTCTGGCACTCAGCGTTCACATTTTTAAAATGACCCCATTAAGACCAGATCCTCAAAATCCAAAGTGTGGCGCTCTGTCCGGCAGCATCCGCGGCCCCACCGCAGACCTCCTAAACCAGAATGTCCCTCAGAACATGCTCCCGGGTGACTCATCAGCACATTGCAGTCCCAGAGTCCCTCCCAGCTTAAAGATTCTCTGATTCTGCATGGATCTGGGCCAAAGGGACTGTTGAGGGGGAAAAAAAAAAAAAAGAAAAAAAATGGTGGGGGATGGGGGATTTCTCAGAATATTATTCAGTTAGGGTGAAATAAGCTGGGTGTCTCAGAGGCAGGGGCCTTGTCAGAAACAGACCTTTGAAGTTTCACTGCAGCTTAAGAAGGTGAGGAAAATGACCTGCTCACGCACTGCTCACAGAAATCATGGTATGGGGTCAATCGTAGTGCAAACTCAGTTTGCTAGTTCTTAACCTCTGCAGTAGGCCAAATTTAAATGAGGAAGCAGGAGAAAGTCTCCAGTGTAGACACCCTCCCTTTACTCAGTAAGAGTCCAGTGCATTTGCCGTGTCTTATCTCCTGGTAGGAATGTCCCAGTCGACAAGGAAGAATGCCTGTCACATCATGGAGTCCCGGAGAGATCATCAGCAAGCTCAGCCTCCAGCCCACCAGGGTTAACCCCCCAACCTCCTCATCTCCTGTGCTACCAGCTGGAGTCTTAGAAAGGAGGAAACTCAGCCCCTTGCTGATCAATAAGAGGCAAGAATAGGCAGAGTTTTTGGTCGTTTCATTTTTTGAACAGAAACTAAAGCTTTAGAAATCCTTTACAGGTGAGAACACACCTTCCAGAACCAAGGGACTGGAGAAGACAGAAATGTTCCCCAGATTCGGAGGACGTATTTCACCAGATAGGTCAGAGTGGGGGCTGCCTGCTGGAGCACAGAGGCCCAACTCCTCTGACACCTAGAGAAATTGAACACGTGTCTTTCTTAAAAGGCATGTTCCAGGGGTGCACGCACCTGAGATTAATATCAACTGTTTATGGGAGATTCCAGCAGTCCAAATTCCCCACCATCTAGCAAGGGAGGGAGGGAGTGGAAACTCAGGGCGGCCTGTTGGTCACCTATCTGCCTTTCCAAACTAGCCACATCCCTTTTTCCAAAGGACCCGTACTCCTGAGTCAGTGGCCACATGACTGGGACGTAGGCCAGACCGCAGGCAGATGTGTGGGTTCACCCACCATGCCCTGCTCCTAAGGTGTCATTCTGAATCCAGGAGCTGTGCAACACAACTTTCAAGTTTGAGCAGAAATAGGACCTACGGCTGTAAGTCTCTCAGCTGGTGGAGGAACATACTGGGTTGTGACTGGGGAACGCAGAGGGCCACAAAGGGAAGACTAGATCCTCAAGTTCTTGCTGTTCAAAGTGCTATCTGGCTGGCAGGTCTGGGCTTGGGCTAAAGGAAGAGGCCTGTTTCCTGGGCGGCCCAAGCATAAGATGTGAGCAAGAGACAGGTTTGGGCCTGGCTGGAGGCTGGGGCTGTATAACGCGATCCAGAAGCTCTGGGTCCAAGGAAAGAACGTTGACCATACGTGGAAGATGAAAGCCTACCCACAAAACGGAAGAGTGGAACACCAAAGTGGTCCAGGAGAGCAGAAGAATCCAACCACGGGAGGCCCCCGCCCAGGACGCCCACTCAAGTCCCACTATCTTGGACAAACACCTGCCAGGTGGCTGGAACTACCTGCTGGTGGGGGCAGTGAGCTGGGAAAAGGGCAGGAACCCTTGCATCCCACTTCTATTAAAGATTCCTGGAGATGCTGCTAGATTCTCCTGCCCTGCCGGTGTATGGAGGAGGTTCAGGGGTCCTCACCAGTGACGCTGCCCAGGTGACCCTACGTTATTATTTTACTTAACCTGAATGTAGATTCCTAGGGTATCTGGGCTGGAATGCACCCCCAAGCTCAATCAATGAAACTCCACATGATGCAGAGATTTCCTCAACAGGTGCCCAGGCTGTCCCGCTTGAATACTTTCAGTGTCAGGAAGCTCATTACCAGCCACTCCACAGCCTTCGGCTCTGTTCTTGGAAAGCCCCATTGCTTGGGTATCCTTCACTGTGACATAGTGAAGCCAGCCCCCTAAAGCTGCCACCCACCTCGATCCCCAGGGAAGCCTCACCTCCTTCCTACACACTAGCCAGGAGGGCTGCCCACCGCCCCTCTCTTTTCTAAGCAAAATCTGTTTCTTCCCGGTACTTCAGAAGCACGGCTTTCTGACCTTTTCCCACTACAGTTGTTGGAAATGCATTCACGTTTGTCAAAATGACTGGTTCAAATAAAGTATGGCTCCAAGTCACACGGGCTTCAGGGGCTCTGACCTTGGGGACCCAGGGAGGAAGCAGCTGCAATAGGACTAAAATGGTGTCACGTAGCATTTACTACCCACTAGTGCCTGAACCCAGCAAGGCACTTAAGTCTCTGTGCCTCAGTTTCCCCTTCTGCAAAACAGGATCTAACTCACAAGGCTGTCATGAGATAACACAGTAAGACGCTTTCAACAGCGCCTGGTGCACACAAGCATTGTATGTCAACTTCCTTATGCCACTTTTGAGGTTCCCAGAGGGCTTT